AAATTTTTGGGAAATTATGAAAGATATGGATAAATGTTTCAAATGAAAGTTGTATGATCTAGAGGGACGCAAATATTAATAAAATTGATTTTCGAAAAAATTATTAATTTTCAATGTCATATGAAGATTATTATCACTTTATTTTGTTGAATTATATAATTTTTTTATATAAAATGATTTCTCTAATTATTCTATCTGTAAAAGTATTATGGTAAAGCTATAAAAAAATCAATAGTCTAAGAAATATTTTATACTTTATTTTGACACATATTGACATGAAATATTAATTATTTCGTAACTATTAATTTTTTAATAATCGTACTTTAATATTTTTATGAATAAAATAATGAGCTGTATCAATTAGTGTAAAGAAAAATACATAGTTTAAAAAATATATAGACAAAAATATATAGATAATAGATAATTTTTTTAATAAGTAATTACGTGTTTTCTTTATACTTGATTCATCTTATTATTTTGTTCATAAAAATATTAAGATATAATTATCAAAAAATTAATAATTCATGAATTATTTGATATTTCATGTCAATATATGTGTGTCAAAATAAAATAAAATATCTCATAAACTATTAATTTTTTGTCTCTATCTTAATATTTTTATATGCAAACTAATTGAAGGAATCATATTATGCAAAAAGAAATCTCACAATTCCATTATAAGAAATGAATGTGAAGGTGATTCTTCATATCTTTTACAACAACTCTCTAGACATGTCCTTCATGTCTTTTTGACTTTTTTGACATCTAAAAAAAAACAACGTGATACAAATACATCTTCCTTGAAACCGTTCAACTTTTATCTGAAATATTTTTAATAAAATATTTATCTTATATATTTTTCAAGATATTTACTTGAAGAAATTAAAATGAGACTCGGCATACGCAGAAATACGCTTTATTATTAAACCGAAAAAATTATAATTTTGTCCATTGTCTTGTACTACATTAATGCATAGTATCTGAAATTCTGAATTAAAAAAATTTATTTAGTTCTTTTTTTCGTCTCTTTTCAAAAACTCAGAACGTGCCTCTCTGCATTTTTCTTACGACGCCCATGATTTTTACGTACCTGCGTTAATGAGTTCCGCGTTCGATCGGGGCGAGCTGGTATGAAATATTATAAATTATTAAAAACTCACGACCACGATGAGTCTTAAATTATATAATTTAAATTTTATAAATACATAGAACAATTGGTTCCAAATTAGTCACAGAATCTGTCGTTAAAATGTATAATTTGATCAAAACGCTTCAACAGCCCAGCTTGCTCTAATCGGCGGCGAAGCGGAAGTGCCGGGAAAAAGAAACACTATTATTCGAACGGTATTGAAGATACTATTTTCTTAATTAACAAGCCGGTCGAAGAAGGAAACTCGGCGCCTTCCCACTTCTGCGGTGGCGATTTTTAATGGACGAAAACAATTTATTGTGCGAACTAGTCGAAGGTATCGGGAGGTATTAACTCTTCGTGGCGGCGATCACACAAAGTGTTTTTTGTATTATAATTGTTTTAAAGCCCTAGTTACGTATCTATATATAAGAGATAATTACAAGAGGGTGAATATTGTATCATTGCGTGTAAAGCACGACGCTAAATCTGTTTGAAATCCTTTTTAATTTTAAATTGTAAAATAAATGCCCCTTTCTAAACAATATCAATAATTTATATCGAATAGAATCAACAGTGTTGTAACAAGTATCTTTTGTAAGATATCTAGGTATATAGATACTCTGTGGAAAAAGTACCTAGTGACAAGTATAGATACATTTTTTCACAATTTTTTAAATTATCTAGATACAGATACATCAGTAATATCTGAAAGATTTAGTTATTTTTTAGATATTTCTTACAAAAAAAACTGCATAAACGAATTTTATTTTGCAAACTACTACTTATGTAGTATTTATACAAATATTTAGATAATTGTTATTTGTCATGTTTTTTATAAAACAATAATGTATTGGAAAATCGATTTCTTTTTGGAATTAAAATTATGTTTATAATATAATGACATAATGTATAGAGAGAATGACATATATACATAGACCAAGAATTCTGTTCGAGAGCTTGAAGATGATAGAATCTGTGATCCCGTTATGTCTCTTTCTATCTTCAAAGAAAGAAGAGATAGCATAGAACCTCGATGATCACAGAAGTCAATCTTAAGTTACTTAAAACTTAAACTGTCAATTTCCAACTCCATCACTGAAAAAAAATGGGAAAGTTTGGTCTATGTATACTATCGATATATATAGATAAATATCTTGTAACTATGTATTTAAATTTAAAAAGTATTCTACAAAGCTACTTATAAAGACCTAGATAATGCTCTTAGGTACTGCTAAAGTACCTGGGTACTATACTAAGATACTTATACCCATGATAGAATAAGAAAAGTGAGTTATTGCGCATAATAGCGGAAAAGAATGGGGAACACGAAATGACAACTAATATTGGACTCGTACAAATTTCTCGCACGAATTTCAAACACGCATTACTGATCAGAAATAAAAGCACAGTAAATTTATTGAAAATAGCAATATAACAATATATTAATCCATAAATCATAAAAATATAAAAACTTTTAAAATATCATTAAAATATAGTAAATGTAACATTACACATTTGTTTGTTTTCTTAGCTTTTTCGATTGTTTAGTCAATCACTTACAAATGCTTTAAAATGCTTTCTTCTCAAGAATTTTATACACATAAACGGTCGTTAGAAAATAATTTCCACTTAATTGCGTGCTCACAAAAATGGCAAAAGCATATTATCAGTCATATTAGATTTCCATGATACTAATATGGTTGGCTGTCAGCTTCTCACTGTTTGAACTACTGCGCATTCACGGAAATAGCTCACTTTTTTTATTCCTATGCTTATACCTAGATATGTTACAACACTGGGTATCAACAATTCGATTTTAAGTCCCGCTAGAATAGATAGTGAACGTAATGCAACGGAATATATCTTTACTTTTCTTATTCTTTTATCTGCTCTGAAATGTGCCCTTTCGCAAAACTTGCGTTAATCTTCGTGAGAATCCATAAAAACTTCGATCGGATCCGAAAATATTCAATATTTCGCGTGCCGCGAAGAGCCGCTCGAGCGCAGTTTGCGCAATGCAAGAGGATCTATAACGCGCATACCTACATACAAGAACCTCTTAACGTCTGTTCCCACGCAAAATGTTGACTCTGCTGAGCTTACAGATATTAAACGAATATTAAATGTCTTGTTAAAAAAACATTATATGAAGTACATATTCACTATTTAACATGAGGCCTACGAAGATAGATTCAGAATATCGCGAATATTAAGTGCCATAATTAAAATTGAAATCCAAAACTTCGTAGATGGAAGAAATATAACTCGGCGAGCTTTGCCTAGCGAATAATTTGAATGAAAATTCATAAATTAACTCTAGCCATAAAATCGTAAAGTATGTAGAAGCTCGTCTTCGGATCTATTCTCGTAGGTCAATGGTCTCCTAGTCAAACGCCTATCCATCTCTTCATTTCTTCGGTATCTAATAAGAATATATAAAATATCTTCACTGTAATTTCAGGATACTTGAAACATCTACTTTTTTAGCTACATATCTATTTAATGAAAGATGATCACTTCTGTGAATTATGTATATCCTTGCTATTGGTTCGCAATACAAATAATTTATCGAGTTTCACGATAAATAACGAAAACTACAAAATGTCGAAATATAGACATTCAGGAGGTTTAAGCAGTTGCGAGAGAAATAGAAGAAATCGAAAATGAGTTTTTTGAATTTATAGAAGGCATATTATATGGGTTTGAAATCATTGATTAGGTTGAAACTTACGTAAGTAATTACTGGAAATACATGATTACATTGTGCTTAATATTTTAAACGCACTTTTCTCGAAACTATATCTTTCAAACTAGCTCCCATGATTTCAAACAAATTAATGAATCCATCGACTTCGTCTTTTAGCTACATATTTCAAATACCTCTCTTTATCATTGAAAGCACCGAAATTAAAAGATATTAATTTATTCATTTTATTTCTAACATAGATTTAAAAAATTTTAGCAAATTTTTAAGCGCTATTTTTATATGCATTATAATTATTTAAAAAATAATTCTTTTTTTATAATTCTGCTTTCAATGATAATTGAACATCTTTAGATTAATAATTTGATTTGATATTTCATTTCAGATAACTGAGAATCAAGATTTTATGGCAGCCATGAGATGATGCGCGTTTGGATACGTCCCATGTTTATTTTTATGCTTATCACAATTTTCATTAAGTATTTTTTTTAATTTGAAAAAAAATTCCTGAGTCTTAATAAAATATGTACTATTATGCGTATAAAGTTTTAAATCAATCACTTGCATAATTTCCATTAAAAAAAATTCATAAAAATAGCCTTTTTAGTTCGCGAAAAAAATTGTTCCATTACGAATATTTACTATTTTCTAAAAAAAAGTAAAAACTAAACAAATATTAAACGTTTTAAATAACTTATTACGATACTCTTTTGAACAAAAAAGTTTTTAATTAATATAATGCTTTTTTATTACAAATTTTCAATGGAATTTAATATTTAAAGATTCATAAGGAATTTATAAAAAAAATATATCCACAAAGAAAGAAAACGATAACTATTTTAAAATAACAGTTCACATTTTCTCGACACACATTTTCTGGAATATAAAAATATCCTAAGTGATTTCTGGATTAAGTGTGATGTCGATCACGAGCCACGATATGTGGTATATCCGAAAGGATTCAGCAGCAGAGGAATGTGATAATGCTCATTAGGATGTTGCACGTCGAACATCACGTCAATCATCGGGTACATAAAAGCGGTTGCGATTCGCTTGAAATAATCGTTTACCCGAAACTCAATCTTGAATCTGCCAGACCCGGGATTCTCTTGCATGTCTTGCAACAAATTTTGGCAGCGTCCATTCGAATCTGTCGTGCTATGAAAAAAAATTGAAAATTAATAATGATGAATAATACAGTTAATATCCATTCTCGCTTAACAATCTCAATATTATGTAGGCTCCAATGATATAATAAAAAATAATTAAAAGCCTCTAAGAATCAACGCTAGTTATAGTTGCGTATAAAAATTTATTATTATCAATTACAAATTAAAATATGTTTCGACCCGCGCGTTTAGGGTTCTCCTCTTCAGTAATAAAAGTCTTTAAAAATCTTTAATATATAGTGAGCTTTCTACATTACGTAAAAAACCGTTGTGTTACGTGAAAAAACATAAAACACGATGTCAGCCATTAGGTAGGAGCAATCATATGCAAAAGTATTTTAATATGCATGCATGCCAGCTCTGTATATGTACATATATATAATACATATATATACATGCAGAGCATGCTTTCCTTTTTCAAATGAAATTCTTACAAATAAAACATTTATATATATAAAAAAATATATGAGACAATGCAAAATGTACCTTTCTTTCAAAAAAATCCACTTGTTATTTTCAAACTTATAGAGACATACAAATAAACCATCAGCAGGCCGACCTCTGCTAGTATCCAAAACATGTGTAGTAATACTTAATTTTTCCTTAATTACAGAAGTACTCATCTATTGTATAAAAAAACACAAAAAACATAAACACAAATTACTGCAATATAACAATAAACTGCAAAAGAAATTCATAACTTCATCTTTGTTTTTAACTTTGGATTTCTATATCACATTGTAGACTAGCGATAATATATTTTGTATTATGCTTAAATAATAATTTGAGTAATCTATTTGAAAAATGATTAAAGATTGATAATTATAAGTAAAAATTAGATTGATAAAAATAAACGAAATAAGAGAAATAATACTATTTTTTCAAAGCGTTTCTTATTGTTTAGAATAGAAAACTATTTGAGCCAGCACAGAACGTACAGCAAATTTCATTTATTTAAAAAGATACATAACGTAAACATGAACATTTCGTAAATATTATTCATTTCATTTCGTAAATTCATTTCATAAATATTTGGAAGTTCCTTCTCAGTGCAAATAAGTCAAACACTAATGAATATAAAGCATTAGTAATCCGTAAATTGTTATATGTTTCAAAATGAACCATTTTTAAGTTGGGTCAAACGTGAGTGCATGTCCAATTAACTTCTTGAACATTAAATTACCCGATTTGCTGAATGAAATAAGTTAATCAAAACAAATATTTTTCAAAAAACATATCTTATAAATGAAAAAAAAAAAACAGGTCTTATAAATGAACTGTAACTTACGTAGGAATTGGGATCATTATATAGAACGAACAATATTAAGCATTATGATCAATAGTATTCATTAAACTGTTTTTATTATAAATTAAATATGCATCAAGTGTAGTCACTTCAATAAAATTAGAAATTTACATGTAATAACAAGAATGTCATTTGACCTGACAATGTCGTTTTTTAAATCGTGATTCATGATTTCTTCTTTTTCATAGGTTTTCGATATAAGTCATAGATGAGAGTATTATCCTTTTTAATCAAACACTCAAAAAATTCATTGAATTGCCTCCTAATTTTATGATAAATTTTAGTCTAGGGTAATAGAAATTAAAAATATCCAAAAGCTCATTTTTGTAAGAATTGTCAAGAGTAAGAGCAATATCGTCCACATATCTTACATAAAAAGATGGAGCGACAAAATTCTTTTTTTTAACGAACACGACTCCAAGTTTTGGATCACAATATTAGCCGCTATGGGGAAAAGTGATGAACTCACTGAGTACATCGAGTCTGTTTGTAAAACTTATTATTAAAAATGAAAAATATATATTTAAGTATTAGATTTATCTTTAAAAAATTCCGTCTTCGTGATGTCAGTATTCTGTTCAATATTAAGGAACCATCTCTTTGATAAATCTTCAAAACTAAATCAATTGGTATATTAGTAAAAAGTGAAACTACGTCAAGAGATAAAAATGAAGCATTCTCCAAAATTGTCAAATTAGAAATATTTGTTATCAATTAGAAACTGTTACTCATAAAGCTTTCTGTAGACGCGGTAGACTGTTGTTATTTTATTCAAAAAAGCAACTAAATCATGAAAGAAATTCCCAACAAACGAAAAGCTAATGACACGAAAAGGATCCAACTTTATCTATTTGTAGTAAACCGTATGCACGAGATAAAATTGGAAATTTGTAAAATTTAAATAAAACTTGTAACAAAAATCCAATATAAATGCATAATGCTTCCAATTTTTAAGTGTTTTTAACTTAGCGATCACCTTGTTCAGAATTTTTTAAATCATACGTTTCAATCTGCAAATGACCCCATTTTCTGTGTATAATCTGCCACTACTATTGCCTTTATCGGTATGTGTGAACAAAATTTGTGGATTATATATTAAAATCAATGTTTTCATCTATTTTTGTGGAAAGCCACATTATCACGTTTTTCTTCGAATCATTATGCCGTGTCACCGCATTTTTATAAATAGTATCCTAAATAATAAATGTTTCGTAATTTTAGAATCGATTGAATAATATTTTGAAGAAGTAATTGTTAAATTTTAATTTAAATATCGATTATTAATCAAGTTATTATTTAATGTATAAAGGTGTCCTCCTGTATTGCGTTGCAATCTTAAAATTTTTGTTATTTTATTTCAGATTCAATTTACGATTACGTTTCAAAATAAATCGAATAAGTGCACAGTTTATAAAATTGATATATTTGCAAAAATTACATATAATATTATTAAATATTTAAGATTCGCTTCGAATGAAAAAATTATTTTTCTTATTTGATAAATTTAGATATCAATATAATATTTTTTGTTAAATATAAATTCCTGTAGAGTCTACATTTTTTAGTTTTCTAAAGCCTATCCAATATACATATATTATGTAGTAATATAATTTTTCGTATTGTACATTACATTTTTGAATAATTTGAGGAAAAGGTTTGATTTACTTCACTGTCACCACACTTAGTATTCATATAACTAACTACGTTCGAACATATGCAGACCGTCTAAATATAGATAAAATGGATCAAAGAGGTCAAGGAATGTGGGCAATGTGCGATTGAAAGATTGATACTTATCTCTAATATACATTCATTAAAATTTAATAATGTCGTTTGTTTAAAAAAATACAATACGTAACATATAATATGATTCAAGCGAAAATAATATACGAATACAATGTTCATAAGAACAAAATTCTATGTGACATGCGAGAATAAAAAGCAAATAAAACATTTACTTACAAAAAACTCTCGAAAACTAACGTATTTTCATAGTTATAGTTTTGTTCAAAAACTTATTTCATTGAATTCATTATTGAACCTTATAGCTTATATTAAAAATAATTCTTAATTGCATGTACCAAGTCATACCTTATACACATAATGTAACAATCTTAATAGCTATCTATGTAAATATATTTTGTTGATTATGCAATATTTTATCTGCAAAAGCATTAAAAATATTTTATTATTTCATTTATATTTTTACTATAATTTCTGTTTATAATATAATCTAATATAATTATATACAGAGTGTAATTAAAATAAAATAACAAATTTCGGGGCAGAGTACCCCACACTAAACATGAAAAAGTTCATATGAAAAACGTCCGCAAACTTATTGTTAGTGAGATACAGTTTAAAATATTTATTAATAGGGAAAAATAAAAAAGTAATAGTTATTATTACTTAATATTATTTATCCAATTTTTAATTACAATAAATGTTTGAAGTGTCTTTCAATACACACTTGGACACATCGGATCATGGATTGTTGCATTCTTTCAAAGATTGCAAATGATATTACAAGCATTAAAGAATTAACGTAGCTTCATTGGCGATTGGAATTTCATAAACTAAAGATTTCAAAAGTCCGCGCAGATAAAAATCTGGAGGATTTAGATCGGCGACTAGCGAATAATATTTAAACATTTTGAGCAATGTCTCAGTGGATTTGCGGACATATGTTCATATAAATTTTTCTTATGTTCTAATGTAGAGGCACGGCTCTAAAGTTTGTTACATTATTTTAGTTACATCATATATAGTATATGATATATGCATGTTATGTATTTTGAACACATTCAATACATATACTAACTTATTTAATTCTCTCTCTCTCTCTCTCTCTCTCTCTCTCTCTCTCTCTCTCTCTCTCTCTCTGCGATATAAAAATAATAAAATACACTCGCAATTTCATCTTCAAAAATTGTGAAGTATTTCTTCGCAACTATCATGAAAGAATTTTTTTTCAATAGCACATTTTACGTGTTACATCTTACTTACGTGCCACGATAAGTTGTGTAACCAAATGGACTTAATAAAAGAGGTATGTGATAGTGAGTTGTTGGTTTTTTTACATCAAATACAATCTCGATGAACGGAAACATGGTATCTATTCTTTTTAGTGTAAAATATTTATCAACATCAAAATGAAGCTTATAACGACCGATTGTACCTTTTATCTTTTCCATCAAATCATCGCAATGACCCTCTGCATTTGTACTACTGAAAAAAAAATTTTTTGTTACCACATTTATATTCTTAACATTTTTCAAAAAAAAAATAAAAAATAAAAAAAAATAACAACAAAGATATTAATCTTAAGTTATAAATTTTCTTTCTTTGTGTGCATCTGTTGTCTTTTCTTGTTTCATGTGCGATTAAAAGTATACATTGAATAATTATATAAAATTAATATCTTAATAACAATATTTCATATTAAAATTACCATTGTTAAAATTGTTAAAATTACCATTGTTAAAATTAAAAACAAAATTTTATAAAATTTAAATACTAAGGGGATGCTATCTCGCGTTTATTTGTTTTATCAATTGAACGCAATAATTTTTATATTAATTTTTCATATGTATTGTTTTTATAGATTTGAAAATTCTCCAGAATTAAAATTTAAACAAATATAACGCAGTCCGGATTGCATGAAAACAAAAAAATTCGAAAATTACAGTTTTATTGCAAACTTCTAGCATCGACTCATTTAACAATATATATAATACTTTTATAAAAAAATTTATATTTTGTGTGTATAAAACAAGTTTTGTGCGGATTACACGGGATTACACGGAAGAACTTTTAAAAATATGCTTAGAAACTAGTATAAAAGACAAAATTGTGTAAAAATTGTATAAATTATTATATTACTACAAATTATTATATTACTACTATAATTCTGTCGGGATTACATTATAAAAGTCCGAAAAATCAATTCAGCGTACAATTTTCATGATGACATACGTAGTATTGAATTATTTAAGCACCAACTTCAATCATTAAAGATTTTTATTTCCTATCGGTTATAAAAATTTTATATCTCGCGTGTCAGTGATATTGATGTATGGTAATATATAATGATTTGCTGATGTTTTATAATTATGTGTAAAATCGGTAAAACACTGTTCAGCTGTCATGTATCCCCTTAATAGAAAATTGATAAATCTTTTGCCTCAAATTATAAAAAACTATATTAAAGAAAATAAAAATATATAATGATTAATTATAAAAAGAGACGTACTTTTCATTCAAGAAAGTCCATTTACCATCCATCAATTTGTATAAGCTAACTTGTAACCCACTAATTGGAACTCCCTTGACATTATCCACAACATATGTAGAAATTCGTAATTTTTTCGATGTTTCCCTGGCTGGTTTCCCTGACGATTTTCCGCTAATCTAGAATAAATAAGATGTCAATCAATAAGCTTACGTTCTGGACCACATAGTAAATGAACGAATAAAAAATTACACATTTTTTTTACCTTCTTAGTCGACAATTTAGTATCAGCCGATTGCTGATTAACAGATTGTTGGCTGGTGCTAGGAATAATCAATGATTGATCGATATTGGAATCTGGCTTTATTTGGATTTTGTTCTCTGATTCGTTTATGATTTTATTTTGATCAGTCAGCATCAATGCTGTTGGGTTACCCTTAAGCTTGGTCAGCACATACTGTGTGCCCGGTTGGAATGTACCGCCAGTTAATGTAAAAGTTTTATTACCACACATTAGAGTGATGGTCTTTTGAGTATTCGGATTCGGCGCAATCGGCACATAATTCATCGTACTTTTACTCGGCATTATGTTTGTCGCGATATTTGTCTGATAAGTTGTACTCAATATCGGTAATGATGTAGTTACGAAATTATCTTTACTATTCTCCAGCTACAAAACAATATTTTTTCTATATATAGTTAATTATGATTTCATATATAAAAATACTTATATAATACAAATACTCACTAATGATTTTCAATATGAGATTTACGTATAATAATATATATAACTAAATTTAAGATTGATTTAATAGCAGTTTTTTAATGTTTATATTTTTCTATCATTCAGAAAAATAAATTACTCACAAGAACTTTTCCATTTTTGGTGGCTTTGATTACCGTTTTTTTATTTTCGCGTGGTTTTGATGTTTCCTGAACATCATCCTCTAGTTCAGGTAAAACAGATATATCATTATTAGTCGATTCTATCACCATCTCTACTTGCACGTTTTCTTGATCCTCGACTATTTCTTCCTCAAGATATTCGTTATGAACATGAGCCATCGCCTTTGTCAAAGGATCTTGACATTTTTCCTACATGAAAAATTAGCATCAAGAAAAAGTATAATATTCGAAAAATCGACAGATGTCAAACTATAAAATTAATATTTTTTATTGCACGCATAATCTGTTGCATAAATTACCTCGGATAATTTGATCTTCTTTATTACAGATATAGAATCCTCATTGGATTGATCACTACTATCCATCTCCTTTTCTTCTTCCTGTTCAATATTGACTTCTTCAATTTTTCCCTTTACATCTTCTAATTCCATTGAGTCATCCTCATCTGTATCTAATCTTTCAACAACATATTCGATATCGTCATCATGATCCTCACCTAGTTCCGCTTGAGAAGAATCATCTATTGTCTAAAATAAAAATTTATACATATATATATATATATATATATGTAAATTAATAAACAATAATTCTAATCAGAGTCAAACATAAGATGAACGCATGTTATTAAAATTAGCATAATACAGCAATTACAGATATTTCGATCTACATTTTAGAGTCCTTCTTAGTACAACAAAGAGGAATTGAAATATATTAGGTGCAGTAAAAAGAAATCCATTATTTTTGCATGAAATTGAATGGAAAAATAATGGATTTCTTTTTACTACACCTAATAATAATAGAGTTCAATACTAAATAGTCTTCAAATAAAATGCAATATTTAAGGTCTGTTCTACAATAGAGTCGTAAGTAGTAAGTCGTAAGAAATTAACCAATCATAGTCGAGTATTCTTCTCACACTTAACTGTGATTGATCAATTTCTTACAGCTTATGACTTGCGACTCTATTGTAGAACAGATAAAATAAAGCCGATCACAAGTTTGTTGCAATAGCCAATCTAAAGCAATTTCAAAATACAAGCTTCAGATTGCTATCGCAACAAACTTGCGATCTATTACAACTAATGTAGAATCTTTAGAAAGTAATCTTTAGAGACTAATCTTTAGAGAGACATAATGCTTCCAATCTATATCATTTATCCTTGGTTATTTTATTTATTATTTATTATTTATTTATTGTCTTTATAAGTACATATTCTATTATCCATGTTCTATTTCTCTCAATTTTCATTTTACATTCGTCTACCAAACAGTTATGTTTGATAACTCTTAATTTGTTTCATGTAAATGAACTAAAGTCTGATTTTAATTATTATTTATATTAACTTTTTAATTTATTCATAATTGTACACAATAAATGGAACAGTCTGATGGAACATGTACAACATATCTTATAGAAACCATTCAATCTTAACAGTCATGTAAGTTTATTTTACTATATTTTTTGCGGATAACTTTATGTATTAGCAATTTAAAATATATTTTTTAGTTGTAATGTAATTTTATAATTAATAGTTTAAGTAAATTTCTTTGTACTGAAGAGAATCTTGACCGTAGGTCGAAATAATATTAACACATCTGTTATAATATTAACACTTTGAATAAATAGTATAAAATACACATGAATAAC